AAAAAAAAAAAAAAAAAAATTATAAAGAATAAGAGAAAAACGTATGTATATGAAGTTATCCAGAAATAGGGTATCGGTTAAACTTTCTTTAAAAAGTGAGTACAAATTTAATGGGTGGCGCAAAACCGGGTGCCACATAAAAATTTTAGATAAAATAATATACCAAAAAATGAAAAATACAATAAAATTGAGAAATTACAAAAAATCATACTTCAAAAAAATTATCGCATATAAGTGTAAACAATATAATAGTATAAAAGTTTTAATGAGATACAAGTCAATTACTACAGTGTATTAACATTCTAGAAATTCAAAGAAAAATATCATAATTCATTAAGAAATGCTATCAAACTACATATTATACCTCTTATCAAAGGTGGATTCACATAGCACTTCGGTCGTTTAGCCCAAGGAGTTACTTCTTATCTTATTTATTCTTTTCTTCACACCAGTTAAACGTTTTTTTTTTGGATCATTCTATAGTGGGCCGGGGGTCGGGGAGCAAGGGTGGTAAGGGAGGTAGGGAATCCGCTAGGTTGAGAGTGGGAACCTGGAATATAAGGACATTGACAGGTAAGTCTATAGAGTTAGGGAAGATTCTACAGAAGAGGGAGATTAATATAGCATATGTCCAGGAGACTAGATAGGTGAATACGAAGGCTCGGGATGTTAATGGATTTAAATTGTGGTATTCAATTGGTGCTAAGGGCAAGAACGGGGTAGGAATTTTAGTCGATAGGGATCTCAGGGAGCTAGTGGTGGACGTTAGGAGGGTGAACGATTGGTTGATGTATATTAAGCTAGTGGTTGGTGGGTTCACTTCAAATGTGATTAGTGCTTATACGCCTCAAGTGGCTTGGACGACGAGGTCAAAAGATGCTTCTGGGAAGGTTTGGACGAGGTTGTGCACGGTATTCCACACACCGAGAAGCTTTTCATAAGAGGTAATTTTAATGTCCATATTGGGGAGACTGCTAGGGGTTATGACGAGGTGCATGACGGGTTCGATTTTGGAGATAGGAACAAGGGAGGAACCTCGCTGTTGGATTTTGCTAGAGCTTTTGACTTTGTGGTAGGTAACACGTGTTTTTGGAAGAGGGAGAAACACTTGGTCAAATTCTGGAGTAAGGTAGCCAAGACTCAGATTGATTACTTTCTCTTCAAGAGGTGTGATAGAGATCTTTGCACTGATTGCAAGGTTATCCCGAGTGAGTGTCCATCGACGCAACATAGGCTATTGGTTATGGACTTGGAGATAAAGAGAGCAAGGAATAAGAGAGTATTGTACGGTTAGCCTAAGATCAAGTGGAGATCTTTGACTAAAGACAAAGCTCAAGAGTTAGGGAAGAAGTTGTTGGTTATGGGGGCTTGGAGGAGTAGTGTGGACGCGAGTAGTATGTTGATCACGATAGCAAACTCCATTAGGGAAGCTGCTATAGTGGTGTTAGGGGTTACAAAGGAATACTTGGGAGACCACAAAGGTGACTGATGGTGGAATGGGGAAGTCCAAGAAAGAGTGGAGGGCAAGAAAGTGGCATATCTGAAGCTAGTGGAGAGCACGGACGAGGAGGAGAAAAGGACATATAGGGAGTGTTATAAGAAGGCTAGGACAGAGGCAAAATTGGCGATCATGGCGGCTAAGACTGCACCATTTGAATGATTGTATGAGGATCTTAGGGCAAAGGAGGTGACAGGAAGTTGTAGGTTAGCCAAGATTAGAGAGAGAAAGGCTCGGGACCTAGACCAAGTGAGGTGCATCAAAGACGAGGATAGAAAGGTACTGGTGGAAGAGGCATATATTAGGCGTAGATGGTAGACGTACTTCCATAAACTCTTGAATAAGGAAAACATCATGTTCGGTGAATTGGAGAACTCAGAGAGTCAGAGTGACTTTGGGTTTTGTAGGCGTATTAAGGTTGAGAAGGTTGAGGGGGCAATGAGGAAGATGTGTAGGGATAAGGCAACTGGGCCTGACGAGATCCCGGTGGAATTATAGAAGGGCACGGGTCGGAGCAGGCTTGGAGTAGCTTACTGGCTTGTTTAATATCATTTTGATGAAAAAGAAGATGCCCGAAGATTGGCATAGAGTTGGATGATTCTGTTGTACAAAAATAAGGATGATATCTACAATTTCAATAACTATAGAGGTATCAAACTTCTGAGTGGGAGAGGGTGGTGGAGAGGAGGGTGAGAAAAAGTGTGTCTATTTTCGAGAATCAGTTCGGATTTATGCTGGGCGGTCAACTACTAAAGCTATTCACCTTGTGAGGAGATTGGTGGAGCAGTATTGGAAAAGGAAAAAGGACTTGTATATGGTATTCATTAACCTAGAGAAAGCCTACAACAAAGTCCCGAGGGAGGTTCTATAAAGATATTTGGAGGTTAGAGGTGTTCCGGTAGCATATATTATGGTAATTAAGGACATGTACGAGGGATCTTAGACTCGGGTGAGGACAACGGGTGGTGACTCGGAAACATTTTCCAGTAGAGATAGGGTTACATCAGGGATCAACTCTTAGCTTGTTTTTGTTTGCTCTAGCGTGGGATATGCTCACGTGACACATACAAAAGGAGGTGTCACGATATATGCTATTTGTTGATGACATAGTACTGATTGACAAAATGCGATGTGGGGATAACCCTAGGTTGGAGATTTGGAGACAGATGTCGGAGTCTAAAGGTTTCAAGTTGAGTAGGTCGAAAATAGAGTATTTGGAGTGCAAGTTTAGTAATAGGATGCATGAAGCAGTAGTGAGTCAAGATTGATACACAAGTCATCCCAAAAAGGGATAGTTTTAAGTATTTTGGTCTTAATCCAAGGCAACAAGGAGATTAACAGGATGCTACTCATCGAATTGGAGCGGGGTGGATTAAATGAAGGCTCGTTTCTAGGGTGTTGTGCGATAAGAATTGCCACCGAGACTTAAGGGCAAGTTCTACAAAGTGGTAGTTAGACTGACTATATTGTATGGGGTTGAGTGCTGGCCCGTCAAAAAGTCTCATGTCTAGAAGATGAAGGTAGCTGAAATGAGGATGTTGAGATGGATGTGTGGGCATACCATGAAAGACACGATTAGGAACAAAGTTATTAGGGACAAGGTGGGAGCAGCCTCTGCTTAGGACAAAATGCGGGAATTGAGGCTAAAATGGTTCGGGTATATAAAGAGGAGAGATATAGATGCCCCGATCAAGAGGTATGAGAGGTTGACCATGACAGGCCTAAGGAAGGTAGGGTAGGCCAAAAAGGTATTGGGGTGAGGTGATTAGGCAAGACATACAATTGCTCCAGCTTACCGAGGACATGACCCCCGATAGGAAAGGGTGGAGGTCGAGAATTAAAGTGAAGGTTGACATGTAGTCGTTAGTTTCTCCTAGGCTTACCAGTAGTACTAGTACTATTCTTGTATTTTTCTTATTCCGTATTCTTTATTATTACATGTTGTGTCATTCGCTTCTGTTACCCTATTTCATTGTTGTTGCTATTGTTTGTTGCTTTATTTTCACTGTTCCTTGAGCCAAGGGTCTATCGGAAATAACCTCTCTACCTTCACAAGGTAGGAGTAAAGTTTGCGTACACATTACCCTCCCCAGACCTCATATGTGGGATTATACTAGATTTATTATTGTTGTGATGTTAAGTAAGGAATTTAGCACGTAATTTGTACAAGAGATGTTAGGTGAGTTCTAGGCGCCAAGCATTGCGTATAGGGGGCACGTTATCGGGTGTCTGGAGCATAAGCCTCGTGAACAAGAGTCCCACACGTGAGTCTTGGAGCGTTAGTGCCTAACTTGGGGCGAGCCCCAAGAGTCTCAACAACCAAAAAAGGAAGTATATCACATTGAATTCAGCAGCAATAATTTAGAACCTGTTTGGATTGGCTTAAAAAAGTGATTTTCAGTACAAATAACTTTTAAGCCAAAAAAACAGCACAACTTATTGCTTTTGGCTTGTTTTAAGTAATTTTTAACTTATTTAAGCACTTTTTGACTTTGTCAAACACCGGAAAAAATTAAAAAGAGCTTCAAAACTGATTTGACTAGCTTAAAAGCCAATCCAAACACCCTCTCAATATTTTTTATATTCTTTGATTTTTATTTGGAGGACACACCCGTGAATTGCGATGGAAGCGAAGACAGTAGAATGAAAGTGGGATGGAAGGGAAGAAAGCTAGAATTAAAAAGCTTTTGATGGTATTAGAACTTTCCATAAGTTGCTATTCCGTTCCCCACATTCTAACATTTTTAAAATGGTAAAAGTTAATTGAAGAGTTCCTTTTTTTGGTTTTACAACCGATATCCGATACTCGGATTGGGTCCCACTAAATCCAATTTCATGCCTATAAGGATGAAGAGTTACTTTGGAAAGAACAAACAAACACATCCCGTTATAAAGGCGAGTCCTTTAGCTAGTGTGTTTCTTTTCATCTTTTAAATTTTTTCTTTATTTTATGACTCAGAATTCGCTGTTCCGATTTCAAATCTGGGTCTCCACTTAAATATACCAGATTTGGTTCAATAGTTATTAGTCTGCTGCCTTTTCATTAATTAACTGATTGAGTTTTAAAATTCTTTCTTTTTGTGATTGGAGGAACAATAATGCATAAACAGGTAATTAAAAAGTAGTAGGCTGTGACTGGAATCAAATATGAGCTCCTGAGAAAGGTTCACAAGTGAGACATTATGCAATTCCAAAGTTGGAAGTCACCTAGCTAGGACACTTCTATACTGAAATTCTCGTCACATATATCCTATGTAAGTTGGTTAAATAAATGATTTCAGAAATCAAGAAAACCCTCTACCAAAAATGGGTTAATAACATTCCAGTAACTAACCATTCCTGCAAAATCCTAAAGCTAGAATACATTATGCAGAGACTTACATGATAACTCCTTCAACATTGTTAAGGGCTTTCTTTGCAATCTTGAATTTATCTGCCAGAGACTTTTGGTCATCCGCTNTTACATGATGACTCCTTCAACATTGTTAAGGGCTTTCTTTGCAATCTTGAATTTATCTGCCAGAGACTTTTGGTCATCCACAACGTACTTGCGGATAAACAAGACAATCCCATCTCGAAGGGATTCATACTCTGGCATAACAGCAATTCGAGTAAAAATGTTCCACACAAGCTTTTCAGGAAATTCCAAGATGGTCTCGAATAGCATCCGGAAATGCATGATTCTTTTTGGAGTCAGTTGTGAAGAATCGCTGAGATCAATAACCTTTAATATAGCAAGTGAAAGGCTAAAAGAAGCAACCATCTCCGCCACAAACTTGGATAGGTGCATTGATCTGATCAGCTGCATCGAGTCGAGCTCCTTGAAATGATCCCAGAGGCAGTACTGCAAATGACATTGGATTGGCATGGTTATGGTTTTGACATTAGTATGTAATACCCTCTTTTGGAACTAATTACACTTATAAGTTGCACTACCGTTAGGAGGTTAGTGCATGTAATTTTGTTGGGTGCAAACATCAGCTCATGTGAGTACCATGTTTCAGATGATTCTCAAGCAT